GCTGATCCCAGTACAACATCACAGATGGCGACCAAGGGTGCTATTCATCTCAAACCAGAAGATGTCACTGTAGATGATGAGGAGCTGTCACCTGTCCAACCTGACCATACAGCCCTTTACACACTACGACCTTCAGGACCCTTGCCAGCCATGTCTTTTCCAAATATCAACCCACCTGAAGTGCAGAGGTATGTGGTTGAACATATCATGAAAAGTGATGACAATGCAATGCACATGTCCTCATTAAAACTTAGATCATTTTCTGGTCGAACCCCAAGACCACAACATGAAATAGATTTTAAAACTTGGTGATCTGGTGTTGACCTTTTGTTAAAATATCCTGCTTTGTCAGACCTGCAGCGTTCTAGGAAGATATTTGACAGTTTACTACCACCAGCTGCAGATATGGTTAAACATCTTCAACCAGATGCACCTCCTTTGAGTTACCTCAAAATCCTTGACTCTGCCTATGGAACAGTCCAAGATGGTGATGAATTGTATGCAAAACTTATGGAGCAGTTTCAAGACGCAGGTGAAAAACCATCAATTTATTTACAACGCCTGCAAGTGACTTTGAACCATGCTGTTAGGAGGGGTGGTATACTAGCTGCTGATTTTGAAAAACATTTGCTGAGTCAATTCTGTCGTGGTTGTTGGGATAACACCTTAAATCTCTGAGCTTCAACTTAAGCAGCGCAAGTCAAAACCACCATCTTTTGCAGAACTGTTGTTATTGTTAAGAACAGAAGAAGACCGAGAAGCTGCTAAAGCTCAGCGTATGAAGCAGCACCTGGGTTCTAGTAAACCCAGAGCTACTGTGCATTTACATCATGCTTATGCATCAGATGAAGAAAATAGTGCTTATGATAACCTGACTACCATCACCCAACACCTTGCTAAGCAGTTAGCTGATGTACAAAAACAGTTGGCTGCTCTTACAACTGCTCAGTTGGGTCAGAAACCGTCTGTTTTGCCAAAATCTATGCATGTTGCCAAATTCAGTCAGCCCCCGCAGACTAGTAAATATGTATCTCAACCCTCTCACAAAAATGCAGCATTACCACCTAAGCCAGGTTACTGCTACCAGTGTGGGGAACATGGACATATAAAGACAAAATGTGACAATCCTCCTAATCCTTCACTTGTTGCTGCTAAGAAGTAGTTTATGGAAAAGCAGAAGAAGTGGCAGAAAATGAACTCTCACAGTGACTTGTCGTTAAACTGAGCCAGGTTCTCATTGAGGGACGAACGGGAACTGCAGAGGACCAGCACAGTCCCACTAAGCAGACCTCTATAAGATGCACCAATCCGTCTCATTTTACTCCTGAGGCTACAGAACTGCCATGAGGGTTGATTGGTTCAAAATGTGGTCAAGTAACAATAGTTGGTCAACAAGTTCAATGCCTGTTAGATACAGGATCACAAGTTACTACAATGCCAGTTTCATTTTATAATCAGTATTTTTCTCATCAACCTGTGAAACCATTAAATGAGCTGTTACAAGTAGAGGGAGCTGCAGGCCAAGCTGTCCCATACTTGGGTTACATAGAAATGTGTTATTTTTCCTACAGAGTTTATTGGCACAGATTTGGATGTTTGTACTCTGGCACTTGTGGTTCCAGATGCTAAAATTGGAACTCAGTCCAAGTGAAGTTCTGTGAAACATGCGGCAGTGAAGTGGTTAATGGTCCGGGTTCTACGTGCACGAATGCATGACTTAGGAGTTAGATGGGGGAGGGTGAACTCAAACTGGACTGGCATGTGGTCTGAAAAAACATTATCACCAACAAGATTATTAACAGTCACATCATGAGTTAAAACAAGGTCCAGTGTATGTCCACGCTCTTGGGTGGGACCTTTTACATGCTGAGTTAGATTAAATGAGTTCAATAAATCTAAAAAGTCCTTAGCCAAGGGCTTCTCAGGACAGCACACGTGCAAATTAAAGTCCCCAATAATGAAAACATGCTCATATTTTGGTGTGATTTCAGCTAAGAAGTCAGAAAACTCATTTATGAAATCCTTAGATCGAGGTGGGCGGTAGACGAGTGCAAATAAAGTCTGAGGGGAATGTCCGAGTTCAAAGACGTTCAGCTCAAAGCTGGAGCGGGAAACTGGGATGGGCAGTTGTTTACAGTCAAAAGTTGATTTGAATATTGTTAATAATCCACCACCGCGCCGGCCTGATGGCCGCGGGGCGTTAAAATACAGACAGTTCGGTGGCAACAATTCCGTCAAGGCGCAGGACTCACCCGGAGACATCCAAGTCTCTGTGATGCAGAAAAAGTCTAACCCGTGCTTTCCGGCGGGGGGTCAGCTGTAGTTGTGTGTGTGTGATTGTTGGTGGTGTATTGCGGCGGTCGGGGGCATGGTTTCACTTTGATAAGGTGCTGGCTGGTCGGCCTGATGTGACATTCAAGGTGGGGGGTGCATAGGTGGCATGCCGGGGCTTCTCCGGGCCTGTGGTGTGGGGCTGTTGGGGTGCCTGATCCTTGGTGTGCTGGGCTGGCCTTCCTCAGCTGCTGCTCCCTGCTACTCTGGCCCCTGGCCTGGGACTGGCTTGTGGTCGCTGTTGGGTGGGTGGGGCGCATAGACGGCCCAACAGAGGCTCTGTCGGGCTGTCTCTGTGTGCCTGTTTATGTCTTGGGTTGGGTTTTAGGTGGTCCCCTCTCTTGGATCAATTTGGGCCCCCCATTTAATGTGGGGTCTACTTCCCCCTGTCGCGCTCCCTTCCGGTGGTGGGCTCCCCTGCCGCCGGTGCATTGGCGGCTCTCAGCATCTGGGGCTAGGTGGTGGGGTGTGTGCAGGCCCCAAAATACATTACGGCAAAGACTGGTTCATCCCAACGATCCAGTCCCCCGGCACAAACAGAGTAATGTTGTGTATGCTGTTCAGTGTCAGGAGGGCTGTGATCAGTCTTACATCGGGGAAACAAAACAGCCACTGGCCAAAAGGATGGCCCAGCACAGAAGATCAACATCATCAGGCCAGGACTCTGCGGTCTACACTCATCTCCAGGCCAGCGGTCACTCTTTCAGGGATGAAGATGTGCACATCCTGGATAGAGAGGAACGATGGTTTGAGAGAGGAGTAAAGGAGGCCATCTTTGTGAAAAGAAACCGTCCATCGTTAAACAGGGGTGGAGGCCTACGTGTTCAATTGTCCCCCTCTTACAATGCTGTGATTGCTAGTATCACTCAGCCCTCTGTGAATAGTACACAGCCATCAGTGTGCTAATGATCCATTGTTAGGCTGATGGTCCTTCTTGAGCATGTGATCAGCTGGTTTTGGTTGTCAGCAGCAAAACTGGTTGATCCACTCTGAGAAGGTGCTATTTAAGAGACTGAGCTGAATACAGCACCTCAGACTGAAGAAGTCTCTTGGACGAGAGACGAAACGTTTCTACATTTTTTTGTTGATTTGCTTTGTTTTGGGTTTTTTTGAATGTCCAGAGGACCAGATTAAACTTTTTTAGATTTTTCTACCTGGATTATTGAGCATGCATCAGGATATGTTGTTTGTTGTTGTGGTTTCTCGGTTTTGTCTCATTTTGTTTTTTTTTTCTTTCCGCAGGTCTAGAGGCAGACTTCAATGATGTTGATTTGTGTTATCTTTATACCTCTCTCTCTCTCCTCTATTCCTATCTCCTTCTTTACCTTTTAACCCTTCTCCCACTTTTCTGCTTTGTTATCTTCTTTGTTTTTCATCCCCATGTCCATTACATCTGAAACAAGCCCAAAGAAAATTCTAATAAAATTTAATTTATATATCGAGTGAAGCATTAAGGCCAGCCATAATGTTCTGCTTGTGAAAGTAAATCTGTTGGGCATCACTTTGACACTCAGACAATAATTCCAAGTGTCACAATGCCGGACAGGACAAGGAAAATAAAAAAAAAGTAAGGGGTACTTTCAGGAGGATTAATCCTCACAAAGCAACTAGCCCAAACAACATCCTGGGGAAGGTGCTGAAAGACGCCGATCAGTTCTACGAGGTGCTGGCCGACATATTTAACATATTTATATTAGTCAGTAGCCCTCACCCCGATAGTCGCAAAATGATTCCAAAGACTGGTCATGACCCACATCAAAACAACCATCCACACCAGGAAGGATCCTCACCAGTATGCATACCACAAGAATCGATCAACAGAGGATGTCATCTCCTCTGTGGTCCACATTGCTCTCACCCAACTGAAGCAGAAGGACTCCTATGTCTGTATGCTCTTTGTGGACTTCACAACTGCCTTTAACACCATGATTCCCCAGACCCTGATGGACAAACTACTCACACTAGGACTAAGCCCCTCCATATGCAACTGGATCCTGGACTTCTTAACAAACAAACCACACTCTGAAGATCCACAACTTCTCCTCCTCCACCATAACCCTCAGCACTGGCTCCCCTCAGGGCTGTGTGCTGAGCCCCATCCTGTTCACTCTGCTCACATAGTAGTGCACCTACCCATCCAGGCTGTCATATTATAAAGTTTGCAGACGATACAGCGGTGGTTGGATACATCACAAACAATGATGAGTCCAGCTCAAGGCAGGAGGTGGAACACCTGGAGAGCTGGTGCAGAGAATAACCTTCACATCAATGTGAAGAAGACAAAGGAGATGATCGTGGACTTCAGAAGAAACAAACACATCAACTCTAACATTATTGAAGCTAAACTGGTTTTAAATAAATGTTCTATTTGTTTACATTGTGGTTTAATCTTTTCATCTTGTCAGTTACATAATTGAAACAAAATATATGACTATTTCAATAGAAAAATCGTTTCTGAACCGAAAATCTATTTTGAATCAAAAAGTGATACCAAAAATCGGAATCGAAACACCAGACACAGAGATTCACTCTCTTAGTCATAACTAACGCTCAGCATTCAGTTATTGTTAAAGTTCTTGTCATCATAAGATTATTCCAGTCTAAAACTGGGCAGGTGATTGGCTTCCTGTTTGTTTCATGGATGACACCGTGGTTTGAGTGGAACTTACCTCTGGCTTATTGAACCTCATGTGGTTGCCCATGATGTGGAACTCGATGGCTCTGGGACCTCGGTAACCTTTGACCCTGTGAGCATTGAAGGGCAGCGGGTAGCCCAGCTGGTATCCCAGCGGCAGGGCGAAGCGGAGCTCGTGCTCGTCTCCGAAGCGGTAAAGCATGTTGAGCACCGTGCTGCTGGCCGTCTTGTGTGTTTTGAGGAACATGATGTGGGTGTGGGGCTGACAGGAGCCCAAGGGGAGGCCCTGAGCATCAGGGGAGGAGAAGATGGACTGTACAGCTGGTTGGACATTGCTGGAGAACAGAAGAGCAGCTTCAGTGTAACTCATTCAGAAACATTGAAGACAATGTTCCTCAGAACCAGAAGCCATACCCCCTGTTGAAGATGGTTCCTAACAGCTGACCAGCAAAAACCACCACCACGAAGAGAAGAAGAGCCTTCAACAACCAGAGGGAAGCCAGGCGACCACACACCAGCCTCCGCATCATCCTGGAGAGGAGGAGAAGAGAAGGAGAGGAGGGGTAGGAACAGGAGAGGCGGATGAGGAGGAGAAGGACTTGTTTTGAACTGACTGACTGGAGCATGTTCTTCTGCGAGGAGGTCTGTTGGATAAAATGTAAATGTTATCATTTAAAACTGTTTTTAGACTCCGCATCATTTAATTAAACTCCAGTCGTGTGAACTAAAGAAAAGCCATTTGTCTTGTTCACGTGCAGTCAGACCAAGACCTTGGGTTTTTAAACAACCATGATGTTATTCAGATCTGACCTCGCTATTCCGGCTATCCCGTTTTGTAATCAAGCTGTCTGTTTAGTAATCTTTTCTGGCTCCGCTGTGTCGGAGAAAATCTGTATCTGTTGATTTTGCCTGATGCTCACTCCTCCTGCCTCACAATAAAACACGAGCTCTCCCGTCGAACGGCGGACTTCACCTTGACGTTTGGTCAGGTTACGAACTCCCCCCTCTGCAGAGGGCTCATTCAAAATTCTTATACTCTGTCTTGTGTGTGAATTCTTTAAAGGTTATACGAGGGAAAAAATCCCTAACATTCTTGGCGAGCCAGCCAGGAGCTCCCCGCAATCTGTTCGTCGGTGGGACTCGACAGGACGCGCTGAAAGGTCGGCAATAGGCCGCCCAAAAGCCCCGGACGCTGATTGTGTCACAGGCCAGCAGGATAGGTTCAGGTTCGAGACATCGGGGACAGACCGGCGAAGCTCCGACCCACATCTCTCACACAAGGCGAGTATGAGACTTTTCCTTTTTTTATAAGCAAAGTTGAACAGTGAGGTTGTTTGCTCAAATCAAGGCTGAGACCCTGTTAAAGTGAAGCTGTTTTGACCATGCAATCAAGACCTGATTAAATAGTGAAAAAGAAAAAAACAGTTTAAGCCAAGACCCAGTATTATACAGAAGTGAGACATCTGGTGAGGCGTTAAATGAAAAGCAAGTGAGATTCTAGGGTGGTTAAGATAACTTACAAATAAGTAACGTGAAAAAAAAAGAGATTTTTCACAGGTTACAAGCACAAGTGAGACCTTTCCTGAATCAAGATCTTAATTGCCATTTTTAATATAAAATGAGTCAAGACCTCCTCTGGAAGTGAGATTTCTAAGGGTTGAGAAACTTATAAACAAGCAACGTGAAAAAAATGAGATTTTTCATGAGTAACGTGAGAAAAGTGAGATTTTTCACCGATTACAAGCAGAAGTGAGACCTTTCCTGAATCAAGATCTTAATTGACAAAAGCAGGTGAGACTATTTGTCAAGACCCTTTCTAAAATTTTGAGTGAGACTCATAAGCCGGCATTTATTCTGAAAAATTGTGAGACACGTGCAAAACGCCTGTCTGTCTGTGTGACTGTCTGTCTGTGTGTATGTTTAAAGTGACAGGCTGATCCTGTGGAGGATCCTTGCCTGTACTAACAGACGGGACCCGAAGCAGATTTGCTTACAACCATTTTTTTTTTAACTGAGTTTGGGTTAAGCGAATCTTTTTCATCTGGGGAACCAAGACTGCAGCTTTGTTTGTCAGAAGAAAGATAACACCCACTAACTGCATAAGAAAAAAAACCCCGAAAAAACCCCCCGCTAAAATACCTTGTCTACTTCGCCTGTAAGCTGATTGAGTAATATAAGTGTACAGATAACTGTTCACTTTTTGTTTTTTGATTCTATAATGTCCTTCAAGCGTACAGCTGACTTTTTCTGTTATCTGTGGTGTTGCCGGCTCTCAGTCTGGGAGACCAAACGCACGCATGCATTGAACTCCCTCCCGTGTGATAACCACACACAAACACACACGCTCGTGAATGTCATGTTGCACTAAAGTTTTAAGAAGTTTGACACTCTAAAAAACAAGTTATCTGAATTTAGATAAAAAATAAAAAATAAATAAGAATACTGCATGATGTTGAAAAATAGAAATTGACATTGATTTTATAAGCCATCTACATTGGGTAAGATAGCTACTGTTTATAATCTTGTGCCAAAACCCAACTTAGAAAATATCTGAAATTCCCTTTAACTGACTGAATTAATTTATAAAAATTCTGAAATGTCCCTTTAAACTGTTTAAATTCACTTCATGTCAAGAGAATACCTCTGACCTTTGAAACCAAACCACACTTAATAAAAATTAACTACTAACGGCTTATTAAATCTATAAATTAGGTGCAAATTTAACATAATATAATTAAATCCGAGATAGCCACATTAGGAGTTGACGGCTCATTTTAAGCAGACCTAACAATGTACATTTTAGCAGACTTAGCACTGTTAAGGCATTAAATATGGATAATACACTAATAGATTGTGTTTTCGTTTCATTTACTGTAGGACAGGTGTGCCCAACCAGTCGCTCGCGGGCCTTGACTTGTATTCTCACAGACATAGTCTCGCGAGTTTTGGGTGCGGTGACACAGTGCTCTCACGAGACTTTAGGCTCAGTCGTGGAGTAATGTCGGTGCGCAGAAAACATGGATGGAAAACTAGCGAACAAGCAAACGAAAACTTATTATTTTCACACAGAGTGGGAGGAGGAGTATTTTTTTGTTTATTCTAATTCGAAGTCCATTTGCCTCATCTGTAATTCGAGCGTTGCCTTACCCAAAAAGTGTAACTTGGAGCGGCATTTCAAGACGATGCACAAACGGTTTGAGACAGATTTCCCTCTTAAAAGTTCTTTACGGACTCAGAAAGTGCGGGAGCTAAAAAACAAGCTTGCAGCCCAGCAATCAGTCTTCACTCGGCCAAGCACAAAAGGTAAAGCTGCTACGATAGCTTCCTACCGTGTTAGCCGCATCCTGGCTCAACATAAGAAGTCTTTCAGCGATGGACAAGTTATGAAAGAAGCGTTTATTGAGGCTGCAGATGCGCTTTTTCATGATTTTAAAAATAAAAGTGAGATCGTAGCTGCTATTAAAGACGTGCAGTTGTCCAGACAAACAGTGACACGGCGATGTGAGGGAATGGCTGTGGATGTGGAGGAGCAGCTAAAAAAGGACGTGGAACAATGTGAGTGTTTCTCTCTTCAGTTTGATGAGTCGACAGACATGGTGGATGTAGCCCAGCTGTGTATTTTTATCAGAATGGCCTTTGCAGACATGAGTGCAAAAGAGGAGCTGCTCACCATCTTGCCTTTGAAGGGACATACAAGAGGAGAAGATCACTGCATCATCCACCAACAGGCCCTGTGTGGGAAGATTTTAAACATGAAGGAAGTGATGGATGTTGCCATGAAAACTGTGTGCTCTATAAGGGCCAGGAGTCTGCAGAGGAGGTTGTTCCGGGCTCACTTGGAGGAGGCAGGAGCAGACCACACAGACCTGCTGCTGCACATGGACGTCAGGTGGCTAAGCAGAGGTAAATTTCTGGACAGATTCAGTGAGCTGTTGCCTGAGATCAGGGATTTTCTGAAGCTGTCAGATCATGGTGAACATTCAAAACTAGAGGACACCCAGTGGCTTTTGGATTTAGCCTTCCTCACAGATCTCACCAGCCTGCTCAATGAACTGAATTTGGAGCTTCAGGGAAAGGACAAAAACATAATCCACATGATCAGTTCTGTGAGCACCTTCAAAAGCAGGCTGCAACTGCTCACAAGTCGGCTGCAACGCAGGGACCTGCAAAACTTCCCACACATGGAGGCAGAGCTACAGCGCCAAGGGAAAGAAGTCCCACAACTGGACAGTGCACACTATTCTAAGCAGGTTCAGAGCATCTCAGCAAAATTTGAGAGACGATTTACTGACTTTTCCTCCATCGAGCCTGTTACCAGCTACATGTGTTATCCTTTTGGAAATGTTGATGTGGATGACATTGTGTCCAAATTGGTGTCCGTGTTTCAGCTGGACAGCTCTGGTGTTGAAAATGAGGTGTTGAGTCTGCAAAATGACATTGGGATCAAATCCAGAGCATCACCTGGCGTGGATGGAGAGTTCTGGAGTCTGCTGTCAGAAGAAAAGTATCCTAACATCCGAAGATGTGCTTTGAACTTAACAGCACTTTTTGGATCTACCTACCTGTGTGAGTCTGCTTTTTCACACATGAAAATCATCAAGTCCAAAAACAGATCCACAATGAATGATGATCATCTGGAGACCTGCCTGCGCCTCGCAACCACCACATACTGCCCATCTTATGAGACCCTGGCCTCCTCCTCTCAGTGTCAGAAGTCCCACTAAAGTAGAGACACATTTATTTTATACAGCTTGCATAAAAAGTTGTCTCCTATAGACACATCACGTTCTGTTTTATTTACTTTAAAGAAATGAGGAGTAGGGATTGATGAAAAATTATGTTTGTTGATAATGAGACTGGACGAGTAGCTCTCGGCAAATTGCCGACTTCAAAAGTAGCTCTTGGTTCAAAAAAGGTTGGGCACCCCTGCTGTAGGACATTTCAGACCGTTTGAGCTCTCATGACCCTTGAGTTTGACATGTGTGATGTAGGAAGTTCTGCCTTAGATTCTGAGTTTAGTGTTGATGGTGTTTTTTGGCTTTCACTATGAGGTGCTGATTTAGACCCTTGTGTTGGTCAGAGTGCAATTATGACACCGCTGGAGGTAGAGGCAGATGGATTTTCAAGAGATGGAAATGGCTATCAGAGAGCTCAATCTGAGCTTTATTTGTCTATGTGTAACTTAAGATGGAGAACTTTACAATTGGATTTGTTATTTGGGTAGTTGACTTAGCTATTTAAGACTGTTTCTGTTAAGTGCCCTGAGACAACTTTTTGTTTGGTTTAGAGCTATAAATAAATAAATTAAGAATAATATCAGGATTTAATTGGATTACTTTATTTTTAAGCTAATCTTAAGTTAAGAAAAAGTTGAACTGAGTGAGTTCTTGAACCAGGAGGGATGTTCTGATGACACATAATGCACAATTATTCATATAAGTTACTGAAAACCCACATGCAAGTTGCAGTTTTACATCTTGGACTGGTTCTGAAGTGCCCAGTAGTGTATCCCATGTGCAGGTTGATGAAAAACTAGGCTGACAAGAACTTGTGACTTTATGAGACCACATCCTGTTCTGCTACCAAACAACAACAACAAAAATCCAAGTCTGGAGCACATGGACTTGAACTGAAACAAAATGCTGATGGCTGTGGAACTGCAATTTTGTCCAGGAGGGGGGAGCTGGACTAACATCATGATGAACTCTTGAACTCTGAACTTGCAGTATCTCCAAAGACACACTGGAGAGAACCTGAAGCGGGCTGTCACTATACGTCTGGATTTGAGTGTCGACTTTTGCATGTGATGTACGGTGGTGCGTTCACTCTGGATCCAGGATGGATGCTGCATGTTGCTCTGACATAAATGCACCCACATAGACACACTTTTCAAACATTACAGCAAAATTTTGATTTTGAAAAGTAGTATTGTGGTCACTTGGAACACCTGCCTAGTTCAATGGCTTTTAGACAAAAAGGAGAGATTTATAATTTTACAATCTTATATCAAAAATGAATAAGGTTACCCCTGAACAAATTATTGGCTTTTCCATTGGGCTCACTTTGTCTTTACAGATTAGACTAAGGACTCAGTGACAAGAATGAAAAAGTGTTGTTTGTATTCTTTTTGGGTAACAAATGTTGGTCTGCAATATGAGCTGGAAAATCTGAACTGTGGTTGATCTCACATTTCCTATAGAGCGCTAATTTGGAAAATCCATCCATCCATCCATTATCTTTATCCGTTTATTCCATTTTGGGTCACGGGGGTCGCTGGTGCCC